TTTTCACTTCTGATACCACTGGTAGTGTCATCCTGCCAGAATGTCCAATAACCTATGCCATAAGTAAAAGAGAAACGATTCTGGAACATATTTTATTTTATTTATTATCACACTGGCCGATTCCCACCAAGGCAGGGTGGCCCGAAAAAGAAAAACTTTCACCATCATTCACTCCATCACTGTCTTGCCAGAAGGGTGCTTTACACTACAGTTTTTAAACTGCAACATTAACACCCCTCCTTCAGAGTGCAGGCACTGTACTCCCCATCTCCAGGACTCAAGTCCGGCCTGCCGGTTTCCCTGAACCCCTTCATAAATGTTACTTTGCTCACACTCCAACAGCACGTCAAGTATTAAAAACCATTTGTCTCCATTCACTCCTACCAAACACGCTCACGCATGCCTGCTGGAAGTCCAAGCCCCTCGCACACAAAACCTCCTTTACCCCCTCCCTCCAACCTTTCCTAGGCCGACCCTACCCCACCTTCCTTCCACTACAGACTGATACACTCTTGAAGTTATTCTGTTTCGCTCCATTCTCTCCACATGTCCGAACCACCTCAACAACCCTTCCTCAGCCCTCTGGACAACAGTTTTGGTAATCCCGCACCTCCTCCTAACTTCCAAACTACGAATTCTCTGCATTATATTCACACCACACATTGCTCTCAGACATGACATCTCCACTGCCTCCAGCCTTCTCCTCGCTGCAACATTCATCACCCATGCTTCACACCCATATAAGAGCGTTGGTAAAACTATACTCTCATACATTCCCCTCTTTGCCTCCAAGGACAAAGTTCTTTGTCTCCACAGACTCCTAAGTGCACCACTCACCCTTTTCCCCTCATCAATTCTATGATTCACCTCATCTTTCATAGACCCATCCGCTGACACGTCCACTCCCAAATATCTGAATACATTCACCTCCTCCATACTCTCTCCCTCCAATCTGATATCCAATCTTTCATCACCTAATCTTTTTGTTATCCTCATAACCTTACTCTTTCCTGTATTCACTTTCAATTTTCTTCTTTTGCACACCCTACCAAATTCATCCACCAATCTCTGCAACTTCTCTTCAGAATCTCCCAAGAGCACAGTGTCATCAGCAAAGAGCAACTGTGACAACTCCCACTTTATGTGTGATTCTTTATCTTTTAACTCCACGCCTCGCATTTACTTCTCTTACAACCCCATCTATAAATATATTAAACAACCACGGTGACATCACACATCCTTGTCTAAGGCCTACTTTTACTGGGAAATAATTTCCCTCTGGAACATGTGTAATATATATTCGGCAGGCTGGGTGGCTGGCTAGCTGGCAGACTGACTTTGGCTCTCTCTGTGTCTGTATCTGTCTCTGTTTGTCTCTTGTCTATATCTCTGTCTGTCTGTCTATATCTGTCTCTCACAGGTACACACAAGTACAGTTATTATACATAGTGTAAATTACCTAGGATAACCCAAAATTTCCAGGCAAAGTGCTATACAGTGCTTGTAGATATAAGGCATAATAAGCATGATGCCAGTAATACACATTTTCACTTGCTCAGGAGTCAGGGAGCAGCTCATAAACCAACAGGTTTATGAGGCACTCCCTGAGACAGAGAGACAAGCAGATGGAAAGACACATACACAGGCAGACAGAAAGACAGATAAGCAGAGCTAGACAGGCAGATAAGCAGAGCTAGACAGATAGACAGACAGCTAGATAGATAAACAGACATGTTTGTGTGTAACAGTGAAAAAAAATAAAGCCAAGGTTCCCTGGAGCAGTGCACATTTGTCAAGTGTCACTGCACTATCAACAGTTTACTGACATATGTCATAACACCATGCTTCAAGGAGTTTCATATATACTCCAGCATGTCTAAAACATTGGTGAGACCTATAAATACTTTGTATATACACCTACCATCCGACTTACGACCTGCTCGACATATGTCCACTCGACTTACGACCATGCATCTGGCAGCTGGGCTGGGCTGGCTGATGCACACCACTGTACATATTTGACAACATCCGGCAGCAATGCGTATGCAGGCATCAGTTTGAGTACCAGTCCTATCTGCTCATCATTAACTGTCTAACTGGACAGTAAATTTCACCATGGCCCCTAAGATGAAGTCTGAATCTTGCACTGGAGATTGTGGCAAGAAAGGCTCTTACTCTAGAACTCTCTATTTGTTTTCACTGTGCACATAAACCTGTCGTATCTGTCTGCCTAGTATATCTGTCTGTATCTTGTGTGTCTGTTTACTGTCTGCTACTAGTGTGTCTTTCTGTCTACCTGTGTGTCTGTCTTTGTCTACCTGGTGTCTGTCTTTCTGTCTACCTGTGTGTCTGTCTTTCTGTCTACCTGTGTGTCTTTCTCTACCTGTGTCCTTTATGTATACCTGTGCTGTCTGTTCTCCCTGTGTGTCTGTCTTTCTGTCTACCTGTGTGTCTTTTTGTCTACCTTGTGTCTGTCTTTGTCTACCGTGTCTGTTTATGTCTACTGTGTCTTCTGTCTGTCTACCTGTGTGTCTGTCTTTCTGTCTACCTGTGTGCCCTTTTTTGTCTACCTGTGTCTGTCTTTGTCTACCTGTGTCTGTCTTATGTCTACCTGTGTCTTTCTGTCTGTCTACCTGTGTGTCTGTCTTTCTGTCTACCTGTGTGTCTTTTTGTCTACCTGTGTCTGTCTTTGTCTACCTGTGTCTGTCTTTATGTCTACCTGTGTCTTTCTGTCTGTCTACCTGTGTGTCTGTCTTTGTCTGCTTGTCTGTCTCAGAGCCACTCATTAAAAGTGTACTTGGTCTTGAAGATGCCATATTAATAATGATAATAATAATCACTGAGGCGCATTGTGTATAAAACATTAATATAGACATTTTGCTTAATCCATGATTTTTTTTTTCAAAATTATATAATAAACATTCTACATAACATATAAATTAACAAATATGAGATGTTTTTCTGGTCGGCTTGACAGTGAACAGGAATCGTTCCTGTCTGGGCTGGTAACAACAACAACGTTTGTTTACATAACTCATGAACATTCTACATTCCTCATTCTCTCTCTCATTTATTCATTTAATCTTGTTTACTCACCTCTCACTCTACATTAAAACTACAGATATTTTAAGGTAAGTAATGAGTGGACACGATTATTGTATTATAGCTTAATAATAATAATATTAATATTAGTACATATGTATTATTGTAATAATAATGATTATTAATATTATTATTAATTTAGGGCACTGGAGCACAGATCCACTGTATAGCACTTGTCTGGATTTTTTGGGGTTTTCCTAGGTAATTTATAATATGTATGATAACTTGACTTACGTGTACCGAGAGAGAGAGAGAGAGAGAGAGAGAGAGGAGAGAGAGAGAGATAGAGAGAGAGAGATAGAGAGAGAGATAGAGAGAGATAGAGAGAGAGATAAAAGAGGAGAGAGTATAGAGAGAGAGATAGGAGAGAGATAGAGAGAGAGAGAGATAGAGAGAGATGAGAGATAGGAGAGAGAGAGAGAGAGATGGAGAGAGATAGAGAGAGAGATAGAAGAGAGATAGAGAGAGAGAGAGAGAGATAGAGAGAGAGAGAAGAGAGATAGAGAGAGAGAGAGAGAGAGATAGAGAGAGAGATAGAGAGAAGAGAGAGAGAGAGAGAGAGGAGAGAGGGGAGAGAGAGATAGAGAGAGAGAGAGAGAGAGAGAGAGATGAGAGAGAGAGGATAGAGAGAGATGAGAGAGAGAGAGAGAGAGAGAAGAGAGGATAGATAGAAATATATATATATATATATATATATATATATATATATATATAATATATATATATATATATATATATATAATATACAGATACAGATACGATCAATTCGGTCAGCCCGTCAGCCAACTACCCACCCATACCACCACCCACCACCCCCCATCATCCAGCACCCACCCACCCATCATCCAGCCACCCACCCACCCATCATCCAGCCACCCACCCATCATCCAGCCACCCACCCATCCAGCTAGCCAGCCACACACCCGGCCAACCACAGACCCGGCCACCCAGCCAGCCAGCCGGATACGTATTACACATGTTCCAGAGTTGTTTCTCTTTACTTAGGGTATAGGTTATACAACATTCCAGCAGGATGACACTACCAGTGGTATTCTCCCAATCCACTGTGTCGACAATACATAAAGATAATAGTAACATATGATACTGTATGCGATATAAAATTTACAATACATATCACTACCATATATACATTATACATGTATACAGTACATAAATAATTAAAATACAACAACAGAAGTAAATTATGGTAAAAAGAATGAAATAATGATTGTACATTACATTACAGTACTATGTAGGTAGTTTATATAGGAAAGTTTTGACATTATGCCCTACCCAATATGTCGGCAATTTTCAAAGGTTCGACTTACGTCCATTTCGACTTACGACCGGTTGGTCGGAACCAAGCTTGGTCGTAAGTCGGATGGTAGGTGTATTTCTAGACAATAGTAAATGACTAAGACAAATGAAAATGTTCACCTGTCGGTGTGATTGTAACAATTTGAGTACTATTTCAGTACCTAATATTAGTGTCAGAACAAAGATTGGCTATGAAATCACAAGAACTATTATAAATTGTAATTATCAGAACACAAAAATTATATTAATTAAAATAAAAAAGAGAAAAAAAGGTAAATCAGCAACACTTCTGCAAGCGGCAGGACTCGATGTTGCTGTCAGGTAAGCATCCAGTGCCAACTTTGTGGGCTTATATCTTGTTAAGTACTGACCCTAATTTTTTTTTTTTATCCTATAACATGTAGAAAAATGTGCTCTGCATTAAATTTTTTTTTTTTTTTTTTTTTTTTTTCAAAATATTCGGAGCACAACGCGAGTGAACATAAATCTATGTTTGGACAGTTTAAGGGTTAATCTCACTTGTTGGTAGTCTGTCATTCCACTTTCACAGTCTTTTCCCCAGGCAAAGAAACTGTACTTACATGAAGTCTATAATCAAAGGTGAGTAGGAGTGTTGTGCCATAAATTAACTCACTGCTCAAGAGTGGTAAGGTTAGAGTAAAATGCAGTCCTTCATACACACCATCACTGTTCTCATCAACTTCATGTGACTGAAATTCATAAAAAATGAAAAGAATATATATTATATATTTGCATCTGTGTATATGATATAAAAATCTATTCTTAAAAATACAGTGGACCCCCGCTTAACGATCACCTCCAAATGCGACCAATTATGTAAGTGTATTTATGTAAGTGCGTTTGTACGTGTATGTTTGGGGGTCTGAAATGGACTAATCTACTTCACAATATTCCTTATGGGAAAAAATTCGGTCAGTACTGGCACCTGAACATACTACTGGAATGAAAAAAGTTCGTTAACCGGGGGTCCACTGTATATGCCTGAAACCATATTATATAAACTAAAAATTGTATTTTATATTTTGTGATGATACTAAATAATCCTTATATTAGTAAGAAGACCAGATGAACCTAGTCACCCAATGGAGAATTAATGTGGATGGGGATGGAGAACATTCCTTACCCAGTTTGGAGTATTTGAATTTGCAAATGTTTACCCAGTAAACAGGGAAATGGAAATGATACTAAATTTTATTCAAAGAGAAAGTAGTTTTCAGTCTCCAAGACTACATATCTGTACAAATTTCCTGTTTTTTTCCTCTTCCAAGACTACATATTTCGTCTACAAATTTGTGCTTATTGTACTACATCCCATAGTAAAAGATAGAGTTAGAAGTGCAGCAGCACTTGGAAGAGGAAAATCACAAGGAAAATGGAAGTACAAAAGAAGTTCACAGTAAAGGGGTTAGCTGGTGTGTTCGTATGTGTTGTATTGTGGCAGCTTAAGAAATGATTAAAATCTGTGAATAAGGTATGTCAATGGTAATAATCATAATAATAAAAATACAGTGGAACCTCGGTTTTTGTTTGCCCCAGTTTTCGTCAAATTTGGCTTTTGACCACTTTTTTCATTAAAATTTTGTCCCAGTTTTCGTTCATCACCTTGGTTTTCGTCAGTCCATCATACCAAACATGTCCACCTGCCCATGCCCACAAAAAGCATCCCATGCATTCTGAGTCAGTCTGGCTTTGTTTCTCTTCGAGTGAGCATCACCTTGCACGTTCATCTGAAACATTTCGTAATAATCCATTGTTTTTTGTGCTTGTGTATTGAGTGCGACTGCTAAATAACCCACCATGGGGCCAAAGACAGTACCGAGTGCATAAAGAAGGTGAGAAACACGATAAAATTCAAGAAAGAGCTCGTATGCCTGTTGTGGAATCTATTATGGCTTTGGGGAAGTCCATGGGGTTGGATGTAAGTGGCCAGGATGTGGAGGAGTTGGTGGACGACCACAGGAAAGAACTAACCACTGAAGAGCTGCAACACCTTCAACTGGAACAGCAACAGATTGCCACTGAGGAAATTGCTTCAGAGGAGGAGGAGGAAGAGAGACAGAGAGAGAGAGAGAGAGAGGGGAGAATGTGCCTTCTTCAGTGATTGACCCTTTGACTGTTGTGACCACAAATCACGACAGTCAAAGGGTTATTAACCCTTAAACTGTCCAAACATAGATATACGTTGACGTGCGACATGCTCTGAACATAGATCTACGTTTTTTTTACATGCTTTCAAATGGAGAAAATCAAGGTCGGAGCACTACGCATGTGAACGTAGATCTACGTTTGAACAGTTTAAGGGTTAATCAAAATTTTGAAAAAAGAAAAAAAAGAAAATTATTTTTTCTTACGAAATGACAGAGAATCTTTTCCTGATGTTAATGACACCAAAAGTACGAAATTTGATGGAAAACTTACGGAATTATGCTCTCGCGAATTTAGTGATCTCAGCAATGTTTACGCATCGGTGATGTCACCCACTTTGAGCCCTATTTTCAGTCCATTCCATTGTTCCAGTCGACCAAACTCACAGCTATTTCTTTAGAACTCCATTTGTTCCGTCGATTGAGTACAAGAAACTGCTCATTTACCAATTTCAACTACCTAATAACGTGGTCAGAAATTTACAATTTGGCCAATTTCACGCAAATTAAAAGAGGTGCCAATTTCAAAACAGGGTCCAGAATGAACAATGCAGACATTCCTGGCACTAAAATAACATTTTCTCTGTTTATCAGTCACCCCTCCAGGCCCCTCTTTATATTACTCTTGCTTTCTATTTTGAATTGTTATTCACACAAAAAATAGAAGATTTACTGTTATGCAGACTACAGCATTATTGTAATAATTGTATAAATAATGTCAACCCATTTGTGACTGCATATTAGAATGGCTAATTGGTCACTTATTGGACAATGATGTCATTTGTTCACTCTTGAACATCGGCAAAAATCGAACATTTCCGCTAATTTGAGCTCAATTTCGAGGTCCTTTTCATCATGAAACCAATCAAAATCATCTCTATTTCTGTAATATGTCTTCCATTCTATCAAATGAGACCAAGAAAACAAAATACAACCATAAATACTGTACGAAAATACACCTCAAAGTCGGCGTTTTAATCCAAAATCATTGCTGGAGGTTTTTTTTCTCATTATGCACTGCATGCTGCAGGCTTTTTTTTAATACTGCGCACACTGACTACACAGACCCATTCTCTCACATGTAGGCCTACCAGCTTCCTCCCGCTTGATTTGAAGCCACTAGAATTTTGGAGTATAAATACGTACGTCAAAAACACTGGCTCGTAAGACATATATACGACTGAAACAGTCAAAGTGTTAAGGACGTGTGCAAAGTGGAATGAGTTCCAAAGATTTGTGGAGAAATATCACTTTAACAAAACTGCTGAAAGCCATGTCTGCAACGTGTTCAATGACAATGCCTTGTCTCATTTTAGGCAAATAAGAGACGCCAGAAACAGACCTCTTTGGACAGATTTTTTTGTGCGACAGGGGTCCAGTGCCAGTAAAAGACAAAGAAAGGAAGTAATCCTGGATAGGGACTTGATACCTGAAGTATTTATGGAGGGGGATTCCCCTTCCAACCAATAACCTCTCCTCCTCCTCCTCCCCTCCTTGCCATCTTCCATATGCTAACAAAAGTCTTCAATAAAGGTAAAAGTGATTTAAATGTTCATTTATCCAAGTCATTAGTGCTTTATATTTATTTCTCATTGTTTTCTGTATGTAAAACTATAGTTATTCTCTATAAAATGTATTTTTTGTTAATATTTTTGGGTTTCTTATGGGAAATATTGCTTCAGTTTTCGTCAAATTCAGTTTTCGTCAGACTTTCTGGAGCGAATTAATGACGAAAACCAAGGTTACACTGTAATAATAATAATAATAATAATAAATAATAACACTCTGGATTGCTTTAAATGTCAGCTACCAAACCTATATGAAATACTTAATACATTTAAAGCACTCTAGACTGATTATTTGTTATTATTCTCATTATTATAAATTAGGTTGGAGGGAGGGGGTAAAGGAGGTTTTGTGTGCGAGGGGCTTGGACTTCCAGCAGGCATGCGTGAGCGTGTTTGATAGGAGTAAATGGAGACAAATGGTTTTTAATACTTGACGTGCTGTTGGAGTGTGAGCAAAGTAACATTTATGAAGGGGTTCAGGGAAACCGGCAGGCCGGACTTGAGTCCTGGAGATGGGAAGTACAGTGCCTGCACTCTGAAGGAGGGGTGTTAATGTTGCAGTTTAAAAACTGTAATGTAAATCGCCCTTCTGGCAAGACAGTGATGGAGTGAATGATGGTGAAAGTTTTTCTTTTTCGGGCCACCCTGCCTTGGTGGGAATTGGCCAGTGTGATAATAAAAAAAAATATAAATTATTATTATAAATTATTATAATAATAATAAACGCTATTTTTGCATTTTTCTTATGACACGAGTGATCTAGGAGTGTAAACACCATTTTCTTTCGTTACAGACCAGAGGTACAGACAAGAAACGTATCTATCTTATGATCTTATTCCAGAGCAGCAGCTAACAGCTAACAGATGACTAAGGAGATATTGAATACTACTGTTCACCTCTCCCTCTCTCATTTAGCTCCTTCCATTTCGTAATGATGTTATATGATGATGTCTCTCTCGTAAGCTCTAACCAAGAATGACACTGCACTGTGATTGCTATTGCTATGACAATGTTTTTATCATTACCATTACTGCTGCTTTCTTCATTTCCTAATATTTTATTAAAACATTGAGTTTTTTTAACACACCAGCCTGTTTAACAAATTCTTCTAGTTGCTTGTACGCAACCTTCATGTTATATTTTAAACTTTAAATTATTATATAAAATGAAAACTGACACAAATTAGACCAGACCAGTGATAATAATGATTATTTACCAGTGAAGCATCAATTTATATGGCAATCCATTTGGTCTGGTAGTGTCCTGATTGCTATCCCCAAGGAACATTGTATATCATGGGGCTCAACACTAGCAACAGTGATAGTGAGGACGAAAGCGCTTCCACTGGCAACAGTAGTTAGCAAAGGGCAATGCCAGCGCAGCATGCAGCAATGGCTGGTGGGTGAGGGAGGCTGGTGGTGCCAACACTAGCTCTGGCTGGGAGCCATGCCCCACACAAACCACACCCCTATGAACCCAGGCTGCATCCACCACCCAGACACAGCCACCGCTATCACCACCACCACAATCAGCTGCAAATATCCAGCAACCACCACCAGACTACATCTAGGATTGGCAGGAGGATGCACAGTTTGTGCCCAATCCTCATCAACTTGACAATGCATACAGTGGAATTCAGCCCAACTGTATCATGAACTTGAATCCTTTGAACTTTATTTTGATGAACCCTGATGTAAATAGTATCAGGAAGGGAAACCAACAGGTGCTTTGAGTATACAATGGTAAACACACTGATCTCACAATGACCATGGCTGCACAAGTAGAAAGATACAACTGTGGCTGATATGTATGTCTTTTCCACACAAGAATAAGCACAATATTGCATCACTGGTCAACTGACTACCTTATATGTACCCCAACACTCAGTGGTCTCATCCCCAGCACCAGTTTTATCTTGCTTATAAGTATGCTACACTTCTCAGACATAACAAGGCCTAATAGAAGTGACATGTAATA